GCCACCTTCATACACTACGATCCGGAACTGGTGCAAGGAAGCCTTCGCAAAGGTTGGCCTTGGAGAGTTGCAGCTAGGCACCCATTCTTTCCGAAAAGGTGCAGCCACAGTAGCAGCCAACACGGGAGTGCCAGACAGAGTCTTCAAACGGCTGGGCAGATGGCGAAGCGACACAGCAAAGGAAATGTATGTTACGCCATACGTCGAGCCCCTCATCGAAGCCTCCCGTACCCTACAAGATTCGACGCATGCGGTGTCATCGGCGCAACACACAGAGGCACTCGTACGCAACCGGAGGCCCCCGCTGCCCATGTCTCAGAGACCCCATTTGTAATGAGAACGATGCCAATTGATAAGAAAGAAAGCAAGCTTTCTCAATATTATAATTTTTAAACACACATGTAGTGTTTTTTAAAATTGTGTATTGTGAAAGCGAAGCTGCTTGTACTGCACAATTGGCATCGTCGAAGCGCGCTAAACGCCCTTCTCCAACTACAAAAACCGTGGGTTGGAGCTCATTTCCCTCCACCCACGTTTCTCAATTTTCAAACGGCTCACTCAACATTCCCACCACCCACCCCAGTGTAAACCGCCTTGCTAATGCCACTTGGATAGGGTACATAATAGCTAGTGTTATTAGTCCGCACTAGCTTATGTCGAACGATGATGCAAATGTTGTAATACGCCATTTGTAATGAGAACGATGCCAATTGATAAGAAAGAAAGCAAGCTTTCTCAATATTCTTAATACTGAGTGCCATCCAAAGTGCCATGCACCACTGTGTGAGCAATGAGCACGCCACCCATTGGGCTACATGCCTTCAACACTTCAACAACTCGAGGCAGCACAAGCAAGAGGAGCAGCAGGCAGGCAACCGACAGAGATGCAGCAGGGGGCAAGCATGCAGAGCTTTATTCAAGCGAGAATAAACACGGGGTAACGCTGAGGTGCGGAGGAGCGAGGGAAGGCAGCAGTCAGTTGAAGCGGTCGGAGGGCGGCGAGGGGCCGTTGAGGGCGATGGCGTGGCCGTCAGAGGCGGCGTCGAGGAACTGGCGGATGTAGCGGTGCGTCCACTCCCTGGGGGCGCCGAACTCGTCCACCAGATGCGCCACAAACGCATTCACCGCCTCCTCCTGGGTGCCATACACGTGGCACATGGCACACAGACAGCACACATGGCACATGCATACAGCAGGGAAGACACAGTGGATTTGGGATTAATTTCAGAATGCCAGGTTGGTGGAGGTGGGATGTAAAGGTCACAGGCCGTGGCATGCAGCATGGATGAGTGCACATGCAAGCGAGCATGTAAATGCCTGCTCCCGTGTTCAACTCACCTGGTGCGAGTAGGGCTTGGAAATGTCAATTCACCTGCTGCGAGTAGGGCTTGGAGATGTCAACTCACCTGCTGCGAGTAGGGCTTGGAGATGTCAACGAACTGGGCCCTGACAGCGCGCACGCGGCTGCGGATGAACGCCTCCATCTCGCTGGTGAGCCCGCTGCCCGCGCCTGTGGCCTCCGCCAGCCCCGCCACGACCTGCTTCAGCTCCTGCACCTCCTTCACCGCCGCATTGCGCTCCTCTATCAGCTGCGCCGCCAGCATCTCCAACACCCGCTTGTCCTCCTCCCTCTGCGCCTCAAACGCCGACCTCAGCTCCGATGCCTGGTGCACTCACCGCCCACACACCATGCAAACGCACGCACGCACAGGACATGTGGAGTGTGAACACGATTAGCAGGGCAGGACGCAGTGAGAGATGATGGCGGGAGGTGAAGGAGAATGCAGAGGTGACGGAGGGGGTTGGGTGGGGTGGGGCAGCAGAGCAGCGCACCTGTTTGATGGCGGAGTCGCGCTCGTCAGCCAGCTGCAGGGCAACGGTCTCGAGGGCGAGGTTCTGCTCCTGCAGGCGCTGCACCTCGGACGCCAGCATGGCCTCTATCGCCCTCATGCGCTCCGTCATCGCGTTCACCGCTGTCTTCAGTGCCGTCACCTGCCCCATGCATGCCCCATGCATGCCCCATGCATGCATGACCACCATCCACACCATGTCAACGGATGACACCATGCCAAGTAATCCCAACACGTGGGTACTGGTGAGACAGTAGCTCTGGGGGATGAACATTGCATGGAAACACATGCCACACATGGCATGGAAGCACAGTGCAGACACACACATGCGTCCCATGTCTCCCCAGCATGCCCCACACTGCCCGCACCTCAGCGATGGCGGAGTCTCTCTCATCCGCGAGCTGCAGCGCCACGGCCTCCAGCGCCTCCTTCTCCGCCACCACGCGTGCCATCTCCTGCCCCGCGCGCCGCATCTCCCCCGCCGCCGCCACCGCCACGTCCCTCTCCGCCTCCAGCGCCCGAAGCCGCCCCTGCACGCCCTCGCCCATGCCCTGCCCGCCCCCGCGCAGCCCCAGGGGAGAGGGAGGGTGCACGGGTGGAGGGGAGGGGAGAAGCGGGGAAAAACAGGGATTGAGATGGGGCACAGCGAGGGAAACGGCTGGGGGAGAGGAAAGCAGAAGAGTGACGATGGGATAGAGCTGGGGGAGATCCGTTTCTAAAGGCGGAGGTACCTTGTGGCTCACTGCACCAGCTCCCCCTGCATGCATGCAGCAAGCGGCAGAGCATCACAGCAGCATTTGGGCCTCTCACCTCAGGAATGCGGGAGGCAGCGGCCTCTGGGTCAGCATCGGCGTCAGCGTCAGCGGTGGTGGTGGTGGGGAAGAGCGTCTGGATGGCCGTGAGGGGCGTGGGCGCCACTGCGATCTTCCTCTTGGTGAAATACTGCCTGCCGTGGCCACCCGGGGGGGGAGGGGGGGGGGGGGGGGGGGAGAGTGGGAAGTGGGGGGCGGGGTAGGGCACATGCAGATGGAAGAAAGCTTTGTGAAAGGGTATAGATGAAAAGGGTGACGGGGAAGGGAAAGGGGATAGGGAATACGAGGGGGAAGGGGAGGGGGAGGGGGGAATGGAAGGGGAAGGGGAAGGGGAAGGGGAACGGGAAGGGGAAGGGGACGGGGACGGGGAAGGGGAATGGGCAGGGGAGGGCACCTGGCGACGAGGGCGCAGTAGACGACACCGATGGTCTGCATGAACTCAGGGGCCAAAGGCACCGAGTCCAGCGATCCCAGCAGCGACGTCGCGAACACCACCCCCAGCACCGCCAGCCCTGCCGATTTCTCGTCAAGCACAGAGGGCAGAGAAGGAGGGAGGGGAATGTAGAGTGGGATGAGTGCAGGCGCCGGTGGTGGGGGTTGAGAATGTGCGGGCGCGATTGAGGGCAGGCAAGAGCGGGAAGTGCAATGCACCCTCAGGTGGTTTATTGGCGAGCCCTCCTGGCCCTGTTGCAAGGACCCTACCTGAACACACAAAAGGCGCACCTGAGGCGGCGGCGGCGGCGCCGACGGTCTCGACGGGCGCGTCCTCCACTGCGCGCACGGCGCCCCGCACCACCTCCCCCACCGACGCGCGCTCCCGCCGCCTGCCCGCGCCACCACGGCCCCGCGAACGAGGGGAGTCGGAAGCGCTGGTGTCGCGCGGAGGGGGCGGTTGAGGTGTTTGCTCCGACTCGCGCTGCGGTTGACAAAGAGTGGGGCGGAAGAAGGTGGGGGGAGCGGGGCGGCAGAGGAGGAATGGAGGGAAGCGCGGGAGAGGGCAGGGGGTTGAGAGCAGGCGTTTGGGGAGGAAAGCGGTGGTTCTAGGGAACGGGGGTCGGAGTGAGCGTGGGAGGTGCAGATTAGGCAGGCAAGGTGGCACGCATTGCTCTGCGCGTGGGCCCGCGCGGCGTTAGGGTTGGGCGCGATGGAACACGCGATCGCGGCGCTGTGCATTCGGCGACGCGAGATGGTCTAGGAGCACGCCACGATAGTGCGCTATCGCCTCGCCCTAACGTGATCGGCAATGCGGCACAGAGCGCGCCACTTGCGAGAGGAGCGGACGCATGACAAAAGCGGAGCAGGCATAATTCCGCGGCAGCCGCGCGCGCGGAGGCAGGGCGCAGGGCGCAAGGCGCAGGGCGCACCTTGAGACTGAGCACTTCACTCTCCTTGGGCGGCAGACTCGACTCGTCCTGCTCTGCGACCTTCTGGTCGCCAGGCGACGATGACGACGACGCGGCGACGCATATCCGCAGTCTTAGGCGGTGTTGGCGGAGGAGCGAGGGCCGGGGAGCGGGAATGCGAGTGTTGGAGGCTGTGGGGGAAGGGGAAGGGGAGGCGAGGAACAGCGGTTTGCGCGCTAAGAGCGCCATGCGGGGGGAACTACTGGGGAGGAACGCGCAGAGCTGAGAACGCAGAGCCCCGCGGAAGACGCGCAACGGTCAGCCTCGTGCCGCGCTGCGAGGGGTGGGCGGCAGAAGCATGGAGGAGCATGCGGCGCGCAGTGATGCGCGAGAGTCGTGGCCCGTGGCTGTCGGAGTGGCAGGGCGCGCGAGGAAAGCGGGCTGGGGAATGCGGATGGAGGGAGAGGGCGGGGAGGAGAGATCCACCAATCCACGCGAACAGTGCCCAGCTGAGCACACACCGAAACTCTCGAGGTTTTGTTGCAAGTGTGTTCGCCACCAGCAGTTACCTGTCGCAAGCCAGATTCGCCAGTCCACTTGGAATGCTCCTCATCCTCACTTTTTGCTGCCTCCAACCCAGTGGAGATCTCATCGGTGCTGCGTGCTTCGTTATGACGTTCACCATTTATCGACGTACACGGATGAATAGATACACATCCATCGAATTTCGTCCCGACAGACAAGTCACATAAGGCAGGCACCACCTGAAGCCCACCACCACCACGTGTGTGCAGGCTTGCTGTTGTCGCTCTGCTCGCAGTCGCATCACCACGGCTCAACCTCTCCGCCACACCCCGTCCAGCCAATCTCCTCGCGCGCATCAGCTCTCCGCAAGCTCGCGCGTGTGGGGCGCGGTGTAGGTCGCGGTTGTTTAGGGCGCGGTGTAGCGCGCGGTGCAGGGTGCGGTGGGCGCGCGGAGGGGGGAGCGCGGCGGCATGGCGGAGCCGGACGTGGGGCCGCTGGTGGCGAGTTTCATCGACTTCACCGGCAGCGACGACGCCGTCGCGCTGCAGATGCTGCAGGTGGGCGGGGCCCCGCGCGCCACGTGCAGCGCCACGTGCCGCGCCACGTGCTGCCTCACGCGCCATGCCCCTGGCACTGTGCGTGTGCTCGTGTGTCTTAGTTTCGTTGCCCCCGCCTCGCGCGTGCCTGCGCGCTCCTCGAGTCCCGTCGCTCTCCGTGACCGCGCGCCATGCACCGCTCTCAACCGCTGCTTGCGTCTGTGCGACTGCGTGCGTGCAGGCGACGAACTGGCAACTGGAGGAGGCGGTGCAGCTGTTCTTTGGGGGGGGCGCGGAGGCCGCAGGCGCGCAGCAGACTGACGCGCATGGGGGCAGCGCCGTGGGGCCTGCGGGAGGTGCAGGCAACGGGTAGGGGGTGGGTGCTGGGAGTGCAGCGGGTACTGCTTTTCTGCCCACCCGAGGTTTCCCGATCCTTTTCCCGCCACCCCTGGCCCTCCTATCCCCTGTTCACCTTTTCTTTTCCGCTTCCTCCGCCTTCAACGTTCTGGCATCCCCCCACCACTGCATCCCCCCACCACTGCATCCCCCCACCACTGCATCCCCCCACCACTGCATCCCCCCACCACTGCATCCCCCCACCACCACTACATCCCCCCACCACTACATCCCCCCACCACTACATCCCCCCACCACTACATCCCCCCACCACTACATCCCCCCACCCGTGCATCCCCCTCACCTGTGCATCCCCCCACCCGTGCATCCCCCCACCCGTGCATCCCCCCACCCGTGCATCCCCCCACCACCACTACATCCCCCCACCACTACATCCCCCCACCACTACATCCCCCCACCACTACATCCCCCCACCACTACATCCCCCCACCCGTGCATCCCCCTCACCCGTGCATCCCCCTCACCCGTGCATCCCCCTCACCCGTGCATCCCCCCACCCGTGCATCCCCCCACCCGTGCATCCGCCAGGTCACGTGACGCCACTCCCCCGCCTCGCTCCTCGTCCCCGCCACCCCCGCCAGCAGCAGCAGCAGCAGCAGTAGCAGCAGGAGGAGGGGGTATGGGCGGCAGCATGGGGGGCGGGGAGGAGGTGGTGCGGGCGCCGCTGCCAGTGAGGCGGGAGGCGCTATATGGGGATGCATACGCGCTCAACCGCCCCTCTGCTGCGTGCGTATGCTGCTCTCTCCCTGCTCGCGTTTCCCGTCACCTGCACTGAGCTGTGCGGTGCTGCCTGTGCAGTGGTGCACAGCACACTTCCATGCTGTGCCATCACGCCTTGCTCCCTGCGCTGCCTCCTCGTTGCCGTCGTCCTTTCTCACCCATCACATCCTGCACTCCCCCCACCCTCTCCCCCTCCCCCTCCCTCCTTCCCCTTCCATTTCCCCCCCTCGCCCCTCGCCGCTGGCCCTTCGCCCCCCAGCGCTGCCGGGAGGACGCCTGGAGGGCCCAGTGTGCCGGTGGTGGTGGATGGGTTTCGGGACTTTGGCGGCGAGGCAGGCACGAGGGCGAGAGCGCGGGGAGAGGGGCAGCAGGGCGGAGAAGGGGGAGCGGCGCGGCAGGCATCGCTGGCATCGTTGTTTGAGCCGCCCTATGACATCCTCTTTGCGGGTTCCTTCGACCAGGTGGGGTGGAGATGGGTCCAGCGACAATTGCCCTGCCCCATGCGCCCACATGCCAGCCCCATGCGCCCACATGCCAGCCCCATGCGCCCACATGCCTGCCCCATGCGCCCACACGTCCTACAGCACCGTCTTATACGCTGTGCCCACTGCTGTTGCGCCTGCCCATTGCTGTGCATGGGTGCATGCGTGGATGCCTGCATGCATGGGTGCTGCATGCATGGGTGCATGGGTGCATGGATGTACGGGTGAATGCGAGGGTGCAGGCGAAGCAGCGGGCGGGGGCAGAGGGCAAGTGGCTGCTGGTGAACGTGCAGTCGACGGGGGAGTTCGCGTCGCACATGCTGAACCGGGACGTGTGGGCCGTGCCAGCTGTCAAGGAGACCATCTCCACCTACTTCCTCCTCTGGCAGGTGCTCCCTCTCCCCCTTCCCCTCCCCTCCCTCTCCCCTTCCTGCTCCTCCTCCCGCGCCTCCTTGTGACGTGGTGCATTTCCCATGTGTTTATGACAGGTGGTTCTGCCAGGCCATTGTGTGAGGCACAGATGATTCGCCCGTCCCCTGTCACGGCACTCACACGCACCACTTGCCTCACCTCGCCCGTCCCACCACACCACCCATACCGTGCCCACCCCACCCGTCACTGACTGGCCTCCGCTGTCTGTAATTCCCATGCTCCGTCCGCCCTCTCCTTGCGTGTTGCGTGTGGGTGGGGGAGGCGAGGCAGGTGGACGCGGCGGCAGCGGAGGGGGCGAAGGTGTGCGGGTACTACCAGGTGGAGGCGCTGCCCGTGGTGATGGTGCTGCACCCCTCCACGGGCCAGCGCAAGCGCTGCTGGCAGGGCGCGTTCTCTGCGGACCAGCTGCTCGAGGTGGGGGGGGAAGAATGGGGGAAGGGCAAACGGGGAATTGGGAGGGGAGAGGAGGTGAGAGTAGATTGTGCCTTGTGCTTCACAGCCACGAGTGTGCCCTTCTGCTGTTCATATCCTCTCCTTGCATTCCTCCTCACCTGCCTCGTGGATTCCGTCCTGCCTGCGTTTGTGCCTGCCTGCCTTCGTGCGTGCGTGCGTGTGTGGGTGTGCGGTGCACGGCTGGCAGGACCTGATGCCGTTCATCGACCGTGGCCCCGTGGGGGGCGCACCCGGGGCGGGGGGGGAGGTACGGCCGCCCAAAAAGCAGCGCGACGTGGCGACGGGAGGGGAGGGGGAGGCAGAGGGCGCGGGGGCAGTGGGGACCGGCGAGGAGGACGAGGAGGAGCAGCTGCGCCTGGCACTGGCCGCCTCCCTGGAGGGGCACACAGAGGAGGTGGGGGGGGATACCGAGGGACGGAGAGGCGAGGCAGATGGGAGGGAGCAGGGTGGGGCCGCAGGGGCAGGCAGGGATGACACCTTGCATGCGGCACAAGGGGAGCAGGCACAGCAGGGGGCGTTGGCAAGAGGGGCAGCAGAGGAGGAGGTTGAGTTACCAGAGGAGCCAGCAGTGGGCACTCCTGCCAGCTGTCGCATCGCCATTCGCTGCCCGGATGGCAGTCGACTGCAGCGGCGGTTCCTCTCCTCGCACTCTCTCCAGGTGCTGCTCGCGTTTTGTAACACAGCCTGCCTGCCACCCTTCCCATTCCACTGCACTGTCCCACATCACCTTCCTGCCATGCCTGTCCCCTTGCTCTCCCACTCACTCCCTTGTTCTCCCTCGCCCCACTCCCCACTCCCCCAGCTGCTGAGGGCATGGTGTCGGCAGCAGGTGCCAGAGGCGGCAGCAGGGAGGCCCTTCCGTTTGTCACAGGCGCTGCCCGGGTCCGCTCCTCTCAACCTCTCCTCGCCCACCACCATCGCCGATGCCGGCCTTGCCAACTCCCTGCTCGCCCTCGCCTGGGACTGACCACACCACACCACACCACAGCGCACCGCATCAGGGTCTCCAGGCTTGTTGCGCCATGAGGCATGAGGCGGTGCGTGCAATGCAGGGCCTGATGGTTGCGCCGGCAAATTCTTAGGGCACTTCCCTTGCCTCGGCCATGCCGGCACTTGTAGTGAAAGAGAAGCACCACTTAGAGCTTGGACATAGGGTGTGCTTGGGTTGTTCCTGATAAAACAGTGATTCTTTGCACAGGTTTGTTTAGTATCTGAAAGGCATGAATGAAAACGTTTCTTCCATTTCTTCACGTTTTGTTTCTCACAGACTGAGCCCTGGTTAACCGGAATGAATGTTGCCGTACCCTCCTCTCCAATCAAAGTATTGTGTGCAATACAGCGTACAGGTACATGCAGCAGCAGGCACAGGGTATCTCGAAAACAGCTTCAGTTCATTGCCTCGCAGTCGAACCGCGCACAGGGCAGAGAGGCGGACGGACCTGATCACAGCTTCCCGTTCTGCCTGCCGCACTGCCATTGCTGCCGCGCCCGTGTGCGCGCATCTCCACCCTTGCGGCCTCGCACCTCGCGCGCCCGCATGTTACCACTATGCCCGTCGCGCTCCCGCTCGCCCTCCCACCACCCCAGCGCGCCCCTGTCCCCGCTCCCTCACATGCCGCGCTGCCGCCCCGCGCCTCCCACGCGGCGCCTCTTCTCCGCCAGCCCACGCTGCCTACTCGCGCCGCGCCCCTCTTGCGCCCTCCTTCCCCCTCCATTCCGCGCGTGTCCGCCACGTCGTCCTCCGCCGCCCACGCAAGCGCGCGGATTGGACCCGTGGAGTCCAGTCGCCAATTAGACCGTTTAGGGGCGCCCTCGCCGCGTCGCATGCCGAGCGGCGCGTCACTCTCCCCCTTCCCCGCCTCCTCCGCTGCCCGTCTCAGCAGCTCCAGCAGCGCGTGGCTTTCAGGCTCCTCCAGCGCGCGCCCACTTCCCGCGCGCACCTCAACTCCACCACTCGCGCCCTCCCCCTTCACCCGCCATTCCGCGCTCCTCCTTCCGCGCCCCGCCGTTGCACCCAACGGCCGCGGCGGAGGGCGCAGGGGCAATGGGCGCGTGGTGTGCGGGAGGGTGAAGCGGGGCGGCGACGGCAGCGCAGACGGGCCGGCGGCTGGCGCGGGGGCTGGCAGTTCTGGCGGCGCTGGTGGCGCTGACAGTGGCGGAGGCGGTGGGGGGGGCAGTGACGGCGGAAACAGTACTGGGGGGAGCGGTAATAATGGCGGCGGCAGCGGTGGTGGCGGAAGGTCAGGCAGGTCGAGTGGCAGCGGCGGCAGCAAGCCGTCCCCACCACCAGAAAGCCTCAACGGAAGCGCCTCCCCTGCCCTTCCGCCCACCCCGCCCCCTCCGCGCCAATCTTCCCCCAGCCCCTCTTCCCGCTCCCAAAGGACCCCCGCTGCGTCTGACCCGTCCCGCCGGGGAGCCGCAGCGTCCCCCGCCCCCCCATCCCCCGCGGCTGCAGCACCCCCCAACCCCACCCCCACCCCGCCCCTGGCGGCCACGAGGCGGCGGCGGCGGCGCGAGCGGGGCGTGGGGTGGCGGCGGGTGGCGTGGGCGCTGGCAGCGGCGCTGCTGTGGGGCGGGGGGGCGTACGCGCAGCAGAGGGCGCGGCAGTACGTGCAGGCGCGCGTGCTGCCCGTGGTGGAGGCGGCAGCGAGTGCACAGGCAGGCAGGCAGGTGGCAGTGGGGCGCGTGCAGCAGCTGCTGCCGTGGGCTGTGAGCGTGGGACCTGTGACCATCGGCCCTGCTGCCTCTGAGTTCTCGTGCGCCCATGCAGACGCCGTGCAAGTGCGGGTGAGTGCTGCACAGCCACTGTGCTGCACACAGCATGTGTGTGCCTGTGGCCTGGTCACCACTCGCACCTGCACATTCATCCACACAGACGCCCCTGCCCTTTCAATTCATCCGCTGCTTTCTACCAATTTCAGCCCCCCTCGCTCCCCTCTCCCTTCTCTACCGCCCGCCCCCCTCAGCTGCACCCGGTGGCGTCGGTGGCGCAGGGGCGGGTGGTGGTGGGGGCGCAGGTGCAGCGCGCCACAGTGGTGGTGGCTCAGCAGCCCGACTGGACGTGGCTCGGCATCCCCGCAGACATGGACGCCCCCGCCTCCCCCTCCTCCTCCATCCCTCCTCTCTCCGCCCGAGCCTCCCTGCAACGCCAGGCTCGGGACGCAGCCTCGGTGGCAGCAGCGGAGGAAAGGGACAGGCTGGCACTGCGAGGGGCACAGATTGAGTACCGAGGGGAGGGGGGCGCGCAGGGACTGGGGGGGAGGGGAGGGGAGGGCGAGGCGGGTGCCAAGGGGGAAGGGAGAGTAGTTGGGGCCACGGAGGTGGGTGGGGGTGGGCCGAGGGTCGAGTGGGAGTGGGTGGAGGAGCAGCAGCGGGCGGCGGAGAGGGCAGTGAGCAACGTGCTGCGAGCAGCAGTGGTGGCGCTGGGGTGGCACGGGTACGACCAGCACCCCCTCTCCGCCACTGCTCCAGCCCCCAGTGCCCCGCCCTCAACACCCTCTGCACCCCCCACGCCCCCTCTCTCTGCCCAGGAGCACCTGCTCTCCCTCTCTGCATCGGCGGCCCTGGCCCACCTCTCCTCCCTGCCGCCCCACCTCATGCCCCCCCCACGCCCGCCCCCTGCCCCCGCCCCAATGCCCACACAGCACAGTGGGGGCAGTGGGAGCGAAGGGGGTGGGGGCCGGGGATGGAGCGGTGATGGCACGGTGGGAGGGGAGAGGATGGCTCGTGAGAGTGGCAAGGGGCGGGAAGGTCACATGGCGGGCGGTGAGGGGCGGTCGGGGCACATGGAGAGTGGGGGTGTTAGTGTGGGAGCGAATGGTGATGGGCTTTCGAGGCGGGGAGGAGACGGTAGCATGAGCACGGAAGTAACAGTAGCAGCAGTTGGTGGGAGAGAGAGTGACACAAGAGGGGTTGAAGTGAGAGGGAGTGAGGCTAGGATGAGTGAAGCAAGTGGCGTGGGTGAAGTGAAGTGGGGCGAGGGCGACAGATGTGCAGGCGAGGGGGAGGGCAGCGAGTCGGCGCTGAGAGATGCTCTGGCGCTCGCCATCCGGCAACGCATGGCTGCCCCGGTGGGGATGGGGCTCGTGGAGGGGCAGGTGGCAGGGCAGGTGGGGGGTCAGGTGGGGGGCCGGGGCGAGAGAATAGGAGTGGATGTGGAGCAAGAGGTGGAGGGGAGAGGGAGTGGAACGAGAGAGGTGGTGGAGGCACAAGGGGCGTGGGGCGGAGCAGCAAGGAGGGAGGAGGCTACAGACAGGGGGCTTGCCTCATGCACTGCTGGTGCTGCCACTGGCCGTGCCACGGCCCTTCCTCTTGCTGCTGGCCGTCCTTCCCCCGCGCAGCAGCAGCAGGCGCAGGCACAGCAGCACAGCGGGCAGGCACCGCCACAAGTGAGCGCGGCGGATTCACAGCAGTGGCAGCAGGAGCAGAGGCAGCAGCAGGCAGAGGTGGCGGTACCGGTGGAGCGGGCACCTCAGAGTGCAGCTGAGGTAAGCACCCCCGATCGCTGCCATCCCTCACACCGCCCATCCCGTATTCAACCCATTCCCAATCCTTTCCCTATCCCTCCCCAATTCCTTCCTCCCTCTTCCCCCCGCCTCCCTCCCCACAGCCCCTGCAGCCCCTGCCATCGCCCGCCCGCATGTCGAAGGCAGGGTTGCCGGCGCCTGTGTGTGCGCGTGAGTGGGCACTGCGCAAGCTGCACCCAGCATATGGGCGAGGGGGGGCAGAGGCGCAGGGGGGGAGAGGAGATGGCAGCGAGGGGAGGGAGAAGGAAACTCATGGCAGAGGGGGAAGGGCTGCTCATGATGAAGGCACTGCAGCACCATCAGCAGCAGCAGTGGCGGGTGAAGGAGGGGGAAGTGGAGGGAGGCAGGGCGAGGAGGCAGCAGAGGGAGGTGGAGGACGGTTGGTGCCGTGCATGGAGGGAGTGAGGGTGCATGGCGGCACCCTCATGCTCCTCGCTTACGGCGACCAGGAGCCACGGTGAGATGAGCTGTGGGGCACGGTGAGATGACAAGAGGTTAGGGGCACGGTGAGATGACGAGAGGTTAGGGGTGCGGTGAGATGACAAGAGGTTAGGGGCATGGTGAGATGACAAGAGGTTAGGGGCACGGTGAGATGACGAGAGGTTAGGGGTGCGGTGAGATGACAAGAGGTTAGGGGCGCGGTGAGATGACAAGAGGTCAGGGGCGCGGTGAGATGACAAGAGGTTAGGGGCACGGTGAGATGACGAGAGGTTAGGGGTGCGGTGAGATGACAAGAGGTTAGGGGCGCGGTGAGATGACAAGAGGTCAGGGGCGCGGTGAGATGACAAGAGGTTAGGGGCGCGGTGAGATGACAAGAGGTTAGGGGCGCGGTGAGATGACAAGAGGTTAGGGGCGCGGTGAGATGACAAGAGGTTAGGGGCGCGGTGAGATGACAAGAGGTTAGGGGTGCGGTGAGATGACAAGAGGTTAGGGGCGCGGTGAGATGACAAGAGGTCAGGGGCGCGGTGAGATGACAAGAGGTTAGGGGTGCGGTGAGATGACAAGAGGTTAGGGGCGCGGTGACATGACAAGAGGTTAGGGGTGCGGTGAGATGACATGAGTTTAGGGGCGTGGTGAGATAGGTGAGGGGTGACTCAAAATTTCCCCTCCACACCTTGCCGTGCTGCTTGCTTCCATGTGCATGTGGCTTCTTCACATCTACCACATGCGTGCATTGTTTTCCGGGTGGGTGCGGAACTCACACATGTATGCATGCATGGCAGGGTGGTGGAGCACATAGACGCGCATGTGACCTTCCCCGCGCTGCCCCACTCGTACAAGCGCATCAAGGTCGACGCCCACGGCTCCCTCCGCCCCTCCCACAACTTCCCCCCTGCCCCCTCGCCCACCACCCCTTCCCCCACCACCACGGCCTCTTCTTCTTCCTCCTCCTCCTCCTCCTCCTCGTCCCCCCAGCCCCCCGGTAGCAGTGGCAAAAGCAAGCGCTTCTCCTCGCCTTTCCACATGATGCCTGGCGGTGCAGCGGCAGGGCGGAAGGAGGCGGAGGGGGGAGCAGAGGGGGGAGCACGTGACGGGGGAGGCGGGCTGCTGCGAGTGGCCGTGGATGTGGACGAGGACAAGCACGAGTGGGCTGTCACTGTCACCGCACACAACCTCTTTGCACCTGTGCGTGCTCATCTGCGTTGCTGCATTATCTCACCTGCATCTGCTGTGCCCAGCAGCCAGTCATGTTCCAAGTGCCATGTTTCATGTGCCAGCCAGGCGTGTTATGCATGCCAGGCTTGCCATGCACGCATGTATGCAACAGGTGCATATGCTCCATGCGCAATGCTTGCCATAGTCCTTGTGTAATTGCTGCTGTCACTTCCCTACGTCTCATGCCTCTCGTGTCACAGTATTACCCTTCCCCTTCCCCTTCCCCGTCCCCTTCCCCTTCCCTTCCCCTTCCCTTCCCCTTCCCCTTCCCCATCGGCATGCCCTACGTACGCGGTCATGGCAGGTGATGGAGCGGCTGCTGGAGATCCCCTTGGATTGGTACGGCGGGAGGGCCGACGGGCAGGTCAGTGCCTCTGCTCTCTCCATTGCTTCACAGCACCTCAACATTCATGAACTGGCCTCTCTGCTCTATGCTGCTCACTGCTGGTCGCTGCTGCTCCCTTCTGCTCCCTGCTGCTTCACTGCTCTTGCTGCTAGAGAGACCTACCTCGCTCTTCCGCAGCGCACCCCAGCACCTCTCAATCACTTGTCTCGCATGATGCACTGCCGACCCACCGTGCTCCTCAGCTCACTCCATGTCTTGCTGCCATTCGTGGCCATGTGCATGCATGCGTACATGCGCTTGTGAATGTGTGTCCGTGGGGACCGGGGGGTTGTGATGGAGAGGGAGCAGGTGCAGCTGTGGATGGGCGCGGGGGATTCATTCCCCAACTTCAAGGGCAGGGTGAACATCAGAGACCTCGCCTTCCAAATCTGGGAGTCCCCCTGTGCGTTCACTGTAAGCCTACAAACACTCACACCAGCCACACACTCGTACCATCCACACACTCACACTGTACTTCTTCACATGAGCGTTTCCCACGTCCTCTCTCTGCCGTGTCGTCCCCTCTCCGCCTGTGCGCTGCTGCCGTGCTTCCTCGGGCGAGCAGGGAGTGAGCGGGGCGGTGGTGCTGGAGGGGCAACGGCTGTTCCTGCACGGGGTGGAGGGGCGGTACGGCCACGTGCCACTGAGGGCGTCGGGGGACATGGACCTCAACCAGGGCGCCGGGGGGCAGGGGCAGTACCGCATCACAGCCCAGGTGCTCCCTCGCTCCCACCCTCACATGCGCCCCCACCCTCACATGCGCCCCCACCCTCACATGCGCCCCCACCCTCACATGCGCCCCCACCCTCGTGCGCCCCCACCCTCGTGCGCCCCCACCCTCGTGCGCTCCCACCCTCGTGCGCTCCCACCCTCGTGCGCCTCCACCCTCGTGCGCCTCCACCCTCGTGCGCTCCCACCTTCGTGCGCCCCCACCCTTGTGCGCTCCCACCCTCGTGCGCCCCCACCCTCGTGCGCCCCCACCTTCGTGCGCCCCCACCCTCGTGCGCCCCCACCCTCGTGCGCCCCCACCCTCGTGCGCCCCCACCCTCGTGTGCTCCCATGTTCCCTCTGCTGCATTCAATGCTGCTCTGTGCTCTTCTCGGCTCACGTACGACCTTGCGTGGTGGGTGTGTCACGTGGTGCAGGTTCAACCGGTGGAGGCGAATCTGCTGATGAAGACGCTCAACGCTAAGCCCCTGCCGTACCCGGTATGTGCTGCATGTGCGTGTGCGCGCACACCATGTTCAATGATAATCAGACCTTTTTTTTTTCAAATACTTCAATCAACCACCACAAGAAGCATGCAGTGCGTCTGCCCTCATTCTGACACCAACACCAACCCTCGCTCCCCAATAACCTTCTGCCAGCTGGCAGGGAGCCTGCAGGGACTGCTCTTCTGCCGCGGGCCTCTCGATGCGCCGATCTTTGAAGGCACTGCTGAGCTGGCAGCAGAGCCTGCTGACGTGGATGCAGCCGTTGCTGCGGTGGCGGGGTCGGATGCAGCGGGGGCGGTGGAGGCGTGGCGGGGGGAGGGGGCGGTGGGGGCGTATGACCGCGTGCCTGTCACGGCGGCCACGGCCAACTTCACCTTCAACACGGATGACTGTGTGAGTGATGTGATGCCGGGCATGGGTGCAATGCACATGCTGCATTTGATGCATGGATGGGCGTTGAGTCATAAGGGAGACCATGGTGGCAAGCAACAACCTTTCATTCATTACGACTACCATGTGCGCATCCCATCTTTCCACCCTCCCCTTCCCTCTTTCCCTTTCCCTTCCCATGCCCCTCCTTCCCATTTCTTCACCCCAAACGCCAGGTGGCGGAGCTGCATGGGGTGCGGGCGGTGCCAGTGGGAGGGGGGGAGATCCGAGGGGCGGGGACGCTGTGGGTGTGCCCTCAGGTGAGTGGGGTGTGCCCTCAGGTGAGTGGGGTGTGTCCGCAGCTGCGTGCAAATGTGGGTGATTAACTGTCTTGCCGTCAGGGCCAAGCACTGTCCACCTACACCTGCTTTCCTGTTCGCACCCCTCCCCCCATATCTCCCTTCGGTGGTCCCCCCATGGTTTGCACCAGGCAGAGGCGGATCCATCGGCAGTGAGTGTGGACTGCTGGGTGGCGGGGGTGTCGCTGGACCGCCTGCTCGCATTCTACCTGCCGCCCGCCACCGCTGCACCACCCTCGCTGCTTGGCCTCGCCTCAGGCGAGGCTTTTTTCAGAGGCTCCCTGCTCTCCCCGTATGCCTCCCTCTGTCCTGCTCTGCCTCCCCCTGCCCTGCTTTGCTGTAATATATCTTGAGCCGCTATCTGGTTTCCCAAGCTCCTGCTCTTTCACTCGTTCTCTTCTCCTTGCTTCCCACTGTCACCGCACACCCGTTCTCGGCACCCTCCTTTCCTTCAACCCATTCTGACCCCCACCCTACCCCACCCCACCCCAACCCACCCCACCCCACCCCACCCCACACCACCACAGCACGGTGGAGGCGGCATGGAAGGCACCGCAGGCGAGGGGCCCATTGGAGGGGATGAGGGGGTCGGTGGCGCTCACGAGGGACACAGCGCACGCCGCCACCCACGCTCACGCCCTCGACCTCCTCCTCTCCGCCTCCGTCTCCGCCCCTCCCCCCTGCCCCACCCCCCCGCGCCCCCCCCGCGGTGCCGCTCGCCCGTGGCCGGTGCTGTCGAGGGAGCTGCCCCCTTTGCCTCCGCGCCCGCGCGTGGAGCGTGTGGAGGCTGAGGCGCGCCTGAGGGCCTTCGACGCCCTCGCGCTGCTGCCCGCCGCCCCCGTGCCCGTGCCGCCCCCGCAGCCCTCCCTGCGGCACCTGCGGCTGTCGGGGCGCTTCAAGCTCTCTGCACGCGTGCCGTGGGGCAGTGAGGTGCAGCCAGGGGCGGTGGACGAGGCAGGGGGGGGAGGAGGCGCGAGGCAGGAGGCAGAGGCGGGGCTGGCAGGGCTGGAGGGGAGTGTGCTCATTCAGGGGCTGAAGCTCAACCAGCTGCTGCTGGGGGCCAACCTGTCAGGCGCCGTGGCTGTGAGTCCCCACGGCTTCAACCTGCACACCGTGGGCCGTGGCGATGAGCAGCTCATGCTGCAACTCTCAGCCAATGGCGTGCTGCCACCTGTCCCTACAATCCCCCATGCCTCGTCGTCCTACATGCAACAGGCGCAGGCCTCCGAGGCGGCCTTCCCGCTCTTCGATGTGGGAGCAGCGGCACCAGCAGCAGGCAGCGCGGGCGGCGGTTTAGGGGGTGTAGCGGGGGGAGCGGTGCGGGTGCAGCGGGGGCAGATGAGTGTGGAGGGGCATGTGCGGGTGGGGGCAACAGCAGCACTGGAGGTGAGGGCGCTGCCGCTGGACGAGTTGGAGCTGGCGTCGCTGCGCGGGCTGGTGGAGCGTGCTGCCGTGCGCCTCAACTTTGCCAAGCGCCGCGGCCACGGCTCACTGGCAGTGCGACGCCCTCGCTTCAGCGGCATGCTCTGTGATGCCCTTCATGCTGCCTTCCGCTGGACCGGCGACGTGGTGAGGAAGAGGGGGAGGGAGGGGCAAAGCAGAGTGCTGTGCTGTACTGTCCTTTTTTTTTTTTTTTTTTTTTTTTGGTGGATATATGTACACTACACGCATACATACATCCGCAGTCGTAACTGTTGCTAGTCGTAACTGTATTGTCCTTTGTGCTTGCTGCATGACCTGTGCATCTGATGCATCTGACCCATCGTGAATCTGTGTGCGTGTGTGATGGCAGGTGACTCTGGAGCGGTCGGTGCTGGAGCAGGCAAACAGCCGGTACGAGGTGCAGGGGGAGTATGTGCTGCCGGGGATGAGGGAGTGGGACAGGGAGCGCGACAGGGACAGAACCACCTCCTCCCACTCAGCCTCCACGCCCACCCCCGATGCTGCTGCCACTGCGGCTGCCGCGGCCTCAGAGCGCGGCACTGACATGGAGTGGGGTGGGGGCGGGCGGCAGAGGGCGATGCCGGGGCAGCTGCAGGCCATGATGACGTCCATCGGCCGCTGGCGCTTGCGCCTCGATGTGCCTCATGCTGACGTCAGCGAGATGCTGCCGGGGCTGCGCATTCTGTCGCGCAGCCACGACCCGGCGGTGCTGCTGCGCTCCAAGGAGCTCTTCCTGCACGGCATCGAGGAGGTTGGCTTCGCCTCCCACTCCCTGCAGCACCAGCTCGAGGTGTGTCCTCTGCCCGCCACACACCCCCCCACACTCAACCGACTAGCGCCTGTCTGCTTCAGAGATGATTTTTCCTTGTTATGTCGCTGTACATTCTTCTCCTTCCACTCCTTGCGCTCCACTCCTTGCCCCTCACCCCACTGCCGTCCATCCGTTGATCTGTACCTTGTTCCCTGCCGTGCTGCGCCTGTGTGGGTGGGAGCAGTATGTGCGGGAGAAGAGGGAGCGCGAGTGGGAGCCAGCGGGTACGGACGTGGGTGGGGGGGCAGCAGCGGAGGCGCTGCCAGGGCTGGTGGACCTGCGGGGGCGCTGGCACGGCGTGCTGGAGGCGAGTGGGGGCGGCAACGGCGACACGTCAGCGTCGTTTGACGTGCATGGCAGCGACTGGGAGGCGGGCAGGTACCAGCTGCAGCAGCTGCAGGCGCGGGGGCGGTACAGCAACACGGGGGGGCTGCAGGTGGAGCGGCTGCTGCTGCAGAAGGACGACGGCGCCACGGTGCACGCGGACGGCACTGTCTTTGGCCCCGCGCCCAGCCTGCACTTTGCGCTACTCAACTTCCCCGCCCACCTCGTCCCCACCTTCCTGCAAGCCCTCCACGCCGCGGCGCCCTCCCAGTCCTCCGCTGCTGCTGCTGCCTCTGGTGCGCCGTTCCCCCCCCCGCCCCCTGTGGGTGTGCAGCAGGCGGCAGTGAGGGGCGTGGTGCATGTGGAGGGCGACCTGTCGGGCTCCTTCGCCCAGCCACAGTGCGACGTGCAGGTGGGTGCACACACTAAAATGCTGCGCCTACCAGTACTCCATTGCTCACTCTGCATGTTCTTGCTCCACTTGCTGCCTTGTTTGTCCGTCTTTCTGAGTGGTCTGTGCTCGTCTCACCCCCCTGCTGCCTCTCCCCCCCCCCCCCCCTCCCGCTCCCCTGTGGTGGCAGCTGCGGCTGCTGGACGGGGAGATAGCGGGCGTGGCGCTGGGCAGGGCGGAGGTGGCGGCGTCGCTGACGAGGGCGTCGCGGCTGCTGTTCCACGCGGTGCTGGAGCCGGCAGTGGAGGCGGGCCAGGTGCGCATCAAGGGCAACGTGCCGCTGCCGCCGCTGCAGGGGGGCCATGCAGGGCAGGCGGCTCAGGCAGGGCAGGAGGTGCAGGCAGGGCTGGAGGTGCAGGGCGCAGGCAGAGACATGGGCGGTGGGGGGAGGATGGCAGCTTCTGGTGGAGGCAGAGTGCAGGAGAAGCGGAGGGGCAAGGCAGGCGAGAAGAAGCAGAAGGCGGGTGTGGAGGCGACACAGACGAAGGAAGGCGGCGGTGCAGCGCGGGAGAGCAGCCGGTTGTGGCATGACTGGGACTGGCTGGACAAGGAGGGAGGGCTGTGGAGCGAGGGCAAGGGGAGTGGCGATGGTGGCGATGCTGAGGAGAAGGTCGAGGAGGAGGAAGAGCAGGAGGAAGAGGAGGAGGAGGAGGGGGAAGGGGAAGGGGATGGCGCGCAGAAGGGGCCGGAGCTGCTGCGCAGTCTGGTGGAGCTGGAGCGGGCGTTTGAGGGCGAGGAGCAGGCGGAGCAGATGCAGGTGGAGGCGAGTGTGCAGGACGCCGGCATGATGCTGCTCACCGCGCTCTCCCCCTCCTTCCGCTGGATCCACGGCCACGCCGCCATCTCTGCTCAGGTGGGCCAGTCTTATAGTGACTTCAGCATTCTTGCTTTGACTTGTCATTACTCTGCACCCTCACGTCTCTCCCCATGCCTCTCTCTCCCGCGCCTCTCTCCCACGGCGCTGTGCGGGCGGCAGGTGAGTGGCACGCTGGCGCGGCCAGAGGTGGCGGCGGAGGCAGTGTTCAGCCGTGTGACGGCGTCGTCCCCCGTGCTGCCGCGCCCGCTCACGGGCGGGGGGGGGCGCATCCGCATCGCAGCGCAGCAGCTGCTGGTGGACGGACTGGAGGGGCGCGTGGGGCGCCGCGGCACTCTGCGCGTCGAGGGCTCGCTGCCCCTCGGCCTGCCCGCACACGAGGGGGGGGGTGAGGGGGCGGAAGGGGAAGGGGAGGAGACGCTTGGTGGGTTGAGGAAGGGAAGCAAGGGGAAGAGGGGGAGTGGGAGGGAAGAGGGGGAGCATGCAGAGGACAGCAAGGTTGGGGAGGGAATCAGCATCACGGCGGAGGGTCTTGAAGTGCGAGCACGCAATGTGTTCAGGTGGGCCCTCACCCATCTGTCACTAGCTTTTTGCTGGACTGATTCTGTGTCAGCATTTGCAGCGTGGGGTTTGAACCTATGGCTGTTAGCACCGGATTTCACACCTGTGTGACGGTGCCCCATTTGTGTGTGCGTGTGTGGTTGCAGTGGTCTGGTAGATGCGGGCGTGAGTGTGATGGGCAGCCTGGCCGCCCCTGAGGTGACAGGCTCCATCCGGCTGTCACGTGGCATCGCCTACCTGTCGCAGGAGAAGGACCGGGCCGACACCCCCCCCCTCCCCCTCCGTGCCCTCCTCGCTGCTGCCCTCCCACCGCCGCAAGACACCTGCACTCTCTGCTGCTCCCTCCACTGCCCCTCCTGCCAAGTCAGCAGCACCTGATTGGCTGCCGGCTATGTCCTCCACGGCCGCGTCTTCAGCCATGAAGCTGCCGGCGTCAGCTCCACAGCAAGGTGCGCCCTTCCCACTCCCTCCACTTCCGCCACCCCCTGCACCAATTTTTACCGACTGGGTCTGTGTGTGGCTTCCGGTCCTCTTTTGGCCCACGCACCTCAGCTCACTTCACCCTCCCGGCTCACTTTCTTTGCGCCTTGTTTGCTCTTTCGTATCGATAACTTCCCCCAGTCATGTGACCCCATACACTGTGTTCTTCTTCACTTCCCTCTCCACATATCTTCCCGCCATCACGGCCATCAGAGAGCACATCATCGCCGCTATCTGCCACCACTGCCACCGCCACCTCTGCTGCCACTACAGCAGTGCCGCCTGTGCCGCTGCCAGCAACCCCTGACCTTGCGTCTGCGCCATCGGCACCGGCGGCACTGGTGCGGCTGCGGGGGCTGCAGGTGGCGCTGGGGCCGGAGCTGCGCGTGGTGTACCCGCTCATCCTCAACCTCGCCACGCGCGGCGACCTGCACCTCAATGGCTTCGCCGACCCGCGCCTCGTGCGCCCCTCCGGCACGCTCTTCTTTGAGAACGGCGAAGTCAACCTCGTTGCCACCCAGGTCCCACCCCCCTCTCCTGCCTCCCATGTCCCACTCCCCCCTCCTGCCCCCTTGCCATGTTCCCTTCTCCTGCCTACTCGCCATGCTCCTTTCTCATGCCCACTCGCCAACCTCCCTTCTCATGCGCCCTCGCCATCCTCCCTTCTCATGCCCCCCGCCATGCTCTTTTCTGCACCTGACCAAACTTCACCGGCCCTGCCCACACCCCCGTGCCGCATGTTTCATGTGCAGCTGCGGCTGAACCGCGACCACCCCAACTGTGCGCGCTTTGAGGCGGCGCTGGGCATGGATCCGCTGCTGGACCTGAAGCTGGTGGGGGCGGACTGGCAGATGCGCATCCAGGGCCCGGCCAACCGCTGGCAGGACCACGTGGTGCTCACCACGCTGCCGCGCGGTGGCGAGGAGGACGTGCTGTCGCCCGCGGAGGCGGCGCGGCTGTTTGAGAGCCAGCTGGCGGAGTCGCTGCTGGAGAAGGACGGGCAGCTGGCGCTCAAGAAGCTGGCGGCCGCCACGGTGGAGACCCTCATGCCCAAGATCGAGAGCCGCGGGCAGTTCGGGCAGGCGCGGTGGCGCCTGGTGAGCGCGCCGCAGATCCCGAACCTGCTCTCGCTGGACCCCACCTCCGACCCCTTCCAGTCCCTCGCCAACCTCTCCTTCGGCGCCGAGGTGGAAATCCAAATCGGCAACAACCTTCAGGTGCTCACCGTGCTGTGGCATACATGGATCTTACAAGCGTATGAAATGCATCATTGTATGCATCATTGTGACATGCATCATCGGGGCACGCATCATTGGGACATGTATCATTGTGACATGCATCGTTGGGACATGCACCGTAGTGACCCGCATCATTGTGACATAGTAAAATGCATCATCGTGACATGCATTATTGTGACACATCATAGTGACATGCATCGTTGCTGCACGCATCACAGTGACATGCATCATCAAGTCACACATTTTCGTGACATAGTGTGACATGCACCATCGGGACATATCCCACCTTCAGATGCATCGTTCTGACTTCCATCATGGACATATGCACCATTGGCGAGATGCATAATACCAACGCTCACTACCTGTGTCCATGTGTTATGTATCGCTCGTACATAAGCATGCACACTGCCATGCTAAGCACTTTTTGCCTGCAGGCAGACCATGGCATAGATTGCCACTGCACCTAAACACATGCACACCATGGGCATGTGTGCATATGAGCGAGCCTATGCCTCAAACATGACCTTTTCTGTGGTTTGCCCAGGCATCTGTGGTGCGGCAGCTACGCGAGAGTGAGATGGCAACCCAGTGGAAACTGCTATACCAACTCAACTCCCGCTTGCGCCTTCTCTTCTCATCCTTGTCCTCCGTTGAGAAACGACTTTTGTTTGAATACTCTGCATCCTCACAGAATTGACTGTACCTAGCTGGCAGCTGGGTCAAGAGCAGGGTACACAGTGGCCTTGACCTTTCGGATTCCATTGTCCCAAAAAAAGGGGGTAAAATACCCATTTTACCCCTTTTTGACCCCTTGTTGGGGCTTGCTCTGATCCATACCGGTACTAAAAAAGCTTTGCCACCCTGATTAATTAAGTGCATTTTTTGTTTGCCCTGTGTAAATCAGCAGTGTTAGAGACCTTTTACTCTGCTGACTGGCTGCTCCATTTCGAGGTGATATTGGTCAGTCAATTTAACCATAATCAACAGAAGACAGTGTAACAAACCTGCCACCAACAGCCTAAAAGTTCTTTTACACTAAAATTTTCAAGATAACCACTACCGTAATCTCCCGGACAAAACACCCCCCCATGATAGTACACCCCCGGGTAGCTTGTGCGGGGTGGGTGCTATGGGCGACCTCGTTTCTACTATACCCCCCTTTTTGGATGATTTTCTATAACACCCCCCTTTTCTTACGGATTCCTATTATAGCTGTTATCGAGTCTGATTCCTTGCAGGAGAATATTGCGAGAATCGCTTCCTAGATGAAATTTCGCGTGTACTTGCACTTAGAATCCGCCGACATTTCCCCCTCCCACAATCTCGCTGTCGCCACCCTAGCAAATCTTTCGCTGCAAGTGGACATTTCCCCCATCCCACATTCTAGGAAGTCGCCACGCTGGCGAATCTTCCGCTGCAATTGGCCTGAAAGGTGAAACTCACATTCTCGCCAAAACTCACATTCTCGCCTCAAGCTGTGATATTGAAACGACCATTGAAACACCCAAACTGTTGCATTAAAATATACCATATATAACCACCCGTGTATTATATAGGATTTTCCGTTGAGAGGACCCCCCCCCCCTTTTTTCCCTGTGGTTATCATAATACCCCCGGGTGTTATGTCCAGGAGAATACGGTATTTTACCCTACAAGTGAGGGAAGGCCTGACAGCAGGGGTTTTTTTATCAGATTAAATTACTCTGTTTCTCTGAAAATCAGAGTGGTTTTTAGGGGATCACTCTGACGTGTTTGGGCAAGCTTTTTGGAGGATAAGTTTTCTCTGATTTGTCAGGGTTCTGATTTTAGCTACTCTGAGAGACCAGTGTATATTTGTGGCTGATGTACTTTTCTCTGTACAGGGTATAGGCATTTCGACCGACCCTCCCTCCCCCCCCCCCAATTGGTGGGTTAAGGATAATATATAATGTCCGTAAGCAATCCTAATGATAACCGTGTAGCACAATGCTTACCGCAGTTTTTTGGTAGGAGTGCAGAAGGCCTGGGTTCAATACTTGAGAGGGCACTCAGAGTTGGAAAAATAGGTACATAGGGTGCCCAGAGTAAATTTTTCAGAAGTGAAGTTTTCTTTGACAAATCAGAGTAACGCTCATAATGAACCCTGAATTTCAGAGTTCCCTAGAAAACAGCTCTGGAAATCCGAGTAGTGAAAATCCAAAAAAAAGCCCTGCCTGACAGGCACCCCGGGACGCGAAGTGGCACCCTCCCCTGCACACACAACCCTCCACCACACTCACCAACCTCCTCCGCACGATGCTCGGAAATGCTGGAACGAGCGCTTCCACCCCCAAAACACGGAAGGATCCCCACATGTGCAGGAAGCAGGGCCTCATATTGGTTTTGTGCTAGGTTGAAAAATCAGAGTTGGTACACAACTTTACTCTGAAAATCAGACAAAAAAAAGGCAAAAATACCACTTCACACTAGGGAAACCCACATTTTCCGTGGGTTTTTCCCAAAAAAAGGCTGAAATTCTAGAGTTCACTTAAAAAAAAAAGGCTGAAATATTAGAGTTATTAGGGAAAATCAGAGAAAATGCTCTGACTTGTGAGGGCCTGGCAGGAAGTGCAGCGTGTCAAACATTATATATGTTATGCTTGTGTAGGCTACAGTGGGTTAGCCTATAGGGGGTACACAATTCTAGGGTTTCCTACTTGTACTCATTTCACTGTTAGTTCATTCATTCCTGTTCGCTAATTCTGACATGGTATAGAGCGGGTCCTTCTAAGGACCGTTTTTTTTTTGGGCCCACCGAAGCGCGCCCCGAGGCGCGATTTTTTTTAGCGACCCCTCGGGTCGCCTTTTCCCCTGCGGCTCAGCCGCCTCCACTGACGCGGCCCCGCCGCCCTCCCTTACGCGGCCCCGTCGCCGGCTCTCACGCGGCCCCGCCGCCGACTCTGTCGCGGCCCCGCCCCGGCCTTTACGCGGCCCCGCTGCCTGCTCTCACGCGGCCCCGCCCCGGCTCCTACGCGGCCCCGCCCCGGCCTTCACGCGGCCCCGCCAACGGCTCTGTCGCGGCCCCGCCCAGGCTCTTACGCGGCCCCGCCGCCTACTCTCGCGCGGCCCCGCCCCGGCTTTCACGCGGCCCCGCCGACGGCTCTCTCGCGGCCCCGCCCCGGCTCTTCCGTGGCCCCGTCCCGGCTCTTACGCGGCCCCTGCCCCGGCTCTTACGCGGCCCTGCCGCCGGCTCTCTTGCGGCCCCGCCCCGGCTCTCACGTGGCCCCGCCGTCGGCCCTCTCCAGGCCCCGCCGCCGGCTCTCTTTCGGCCCCGTCGCCGGCCCTGACGCGGCCCCTGCCCCGGCTCTCAAGCGGCCCCGCCGCCGGCTCTTTTGCGGCCCCGCCGCCGGCTCTCTTGCGGCCCCGCCGCCGGCTCTGAAGCGGCCCCGCCCCGGCTCTCACGCGGCCCCGCCGCCGGCCCTCACGCGTCCCCGCCCCGGCTCTCTCACGCGGCCCCGCCGCCACACCTGCAGCAGTCGGGCAGCAGTGCAGCCGAACCGCCCGGGAGCCGAGCCGCCCAACGCCCGAGCCGCCCAGTCGCCGAGCCGCCCGGGACCCGAGCCGCCCTGCCGCCGAGCCGCCCGGGAGCCGAGCCGCCCTGCACCCGAGCCGCCCTGCCGCCGAGCCGCCCGGGAGCCGAGCCGCCCTGCGCCCGAGCCGCCCAGCCGCCGAGCCGCCCGGGAGCCGAGCCGCTGTGCACCCGAGCCGCCTTTCTGCAGAGCTGCACGACCTGCCCTGCCTGGTGAGCACAGTCCCACTGTCACTGCGAGCTCTTTCCCTACTGCTTGCACTGCGTCGCTGTCGTCGCCATGGCTACCCCTAGTGTCTTAGCTTTTGACGCTGAGGGTCGCGCCATTGATTTTGAGGTCTGGTTAGACGACCTGCAGCTGTTCTTACAGTGCGACAGGGCTGACGGCCTTTCTCTCTTTGACCTCACCTCTGGCGCCTCTCCTGCTCCTGCTGCTGATGCTGATCCCACTGTCCGCTCTCAGTGGGCCACCCGCGATGCTGCTGCACGTCTTGCTGTGCGTCGCCACCTCCCTACCTCTGAGCGTGCGCACTTTAGTCAGTACAAGAGTGCTCAGACCTTGTACGACGCTGTAGTTGCGCGCTACTCCTCCCCTGCCACTGCTGCACTGAGCCGTCTCATGCTTCCCTACCTCTTTCCTGACCTCTCTGCCTTTCCCACTGACGCTGACCTCATTACGCACCTCCGCACTAGTGACACTCGCTACCGCGCCGCCCTTCCTGCTGAGTTCTGCGCTAAGAACCCACCCCCCATGTACATCGCTCTCTACTACGTAGTCGCGCGCCTCCCTGACTCCCTTCGCGTAGTCAGGGACCACTTTCTCGCAGTCTGTCCCACCACCCTCACCGTCGACCTCCTCGAGAAGGCCCTCCTCGCAGCGGAGAAGAGCATAGTCGCTGTAGGTGCTTCTCGTGGTGACCCTCGCACCCCCATCTTTGAGGGGTGCTCTCCTTCCCCCTTGCTGCCCTCTGTTGCCTCTGCTGCTGCTGCCGACCTGCTTGGTCTTGAGTCGGTCGGCGCGGCGTCTGCCCCTAGTGGGAGACGTCGCTCCAGCAAGGGCAAGGGGGGCAAGGGCGCGGGTGGAGCTGGAGGGGGCGGTGGCGGTGGCGGCGGTGGCGGCGGAGGGAGTGGGGGTGGCGGCGGGACTAGTGGCGGGGGTGGTGGTGGTGGTGGCAGCAGCGGCGGAGACGGTGGTGGTGGTGCCAGCGGTTGTGGTGGAGGCAGCGGCGGAGGTGGAGGCGGCGGAGGTGGAGGCGGTGGAGGCGGCAGCGGAGGAGGCGGTGGTGGTGGAGGAGGTGGAGCTGGTCGGGGTGGTACCCAGCAGCGTAGCGGCGGTGGTGGTGGCCAGCGCTCGCAGCGGCAGCAGCAGCAGCGCTCGCGGGACATCCCTCCGCCTCAGCAGCTTCGTGAGTGGTACGCTGGGCGTCAGAGGGGTGGGGGTACTGGTCCCTGCACCTACGTTCTTCGTTCCGGCGACCGCGCGGGTGAGCAGTGTGGGGGTGCCCACGCCACCCAGCGCTGCTTTGGCCGCCTGACGGACGCTTGGCGTCAGCAGTTCCCTGGGGCTAGTGAGATCCCTCGTTGGGATGAGCTTCTTAGGGCTGGTGTAGCGATCTTTGATCTTGATTTTGATGCTATCCTTGCTGCTATGTATGCTGTGACTTATAGTGAGGAGAATGAGGGTTACCGGTGTTTCCAGCCCGACCCGGGCATTGGTACTGCTGCGCTAGGTGCTTGTGAGGCTGCTGCTCTAGGTGCCAGTGCGTCTGCGCTCTCAGGTACTGGTGAGACTGCGCTCTCAGGTACTGCGTTGTCCTCGTCCTCCCTCACTTTCACACTTGACTCCGGGGCTTCTCGCTCCTTCTTTCGAGACCGCACTACCCTTACGCCGCTCGGCCGGCCGGTTGCAGTCTCCCTTGCTGACCCCTCTGGGGGTCCTGTCCTGTCTCACTTCTCCACTGTCCTCCCGTGTCCGGCTGCCCCTTCGGGCACCCTGTCTGGTCTGTACCTTCCCTCGTTCTCTACGAACTTGGTGAGTGGCGCGGACCTGCAGGATGTGGGGGTTCACCAGTTCACTCCTGCGAGTAAGCGGGTGACCCACTGCACGGAGGCACGCACAGGCCGACACCTGGCCACGTTCTCGCGTCGGC